GGACCGGGATCCCTGCGCCGAGAAGCTCCTAGTCCAGGGGAACACTGATGAGAAGGCCGACAGAGAAAGACTTCCCCTGGAGCTGACGCCCTGATTTTGGACTTTTAGCCTACTTTGACTGTGAGGAAATAAACTTCTCTTCGTTAAAACCATCCACTTGTGGTATTTCTGTTATGGCAGCACTAGATAACTAAGACACCACCCCAATAAGCTACACCCTCTGTGTTTACACTGTGAGCAGCCCTTCATGCCCAGGCTCCAATGGCCAAATCAGGCAGGACAAACTTAGTTCCTCCCAGGACTCTAGCTGGGTGGGCTTGGCTGGGTGTTGGGGGCTGTTTTTAGTCACTAGGCAAAGAAAGTCATTTCACCCATTCTTCCAGCTGTTTTGAGGCCAGTGGTAGGGGCTGGGGGCACCCACAGGGACCCACTGGGCAGGCGAGGCACCTGCCTCACACTGGTGACCTGGAGCCTCCTCTGCAGCCTTGTTGTTACCACCTTGCCTGGAACCACTGAAGTCACCACTTCAGAGGCCCCTAATGAGGCTGAATATGTTAAGGGCTTTGCAATTCCTGGATCAAAGAGGCTAGGTAAACAGTGGGCAGCGTCTAGGCTGGTGACTGGCTGACGCCCTCAGGTAATCGCTCCCTAGGAGCAAGTGGCTGACACTAGCTCCCAGACAGCCTCATGTGGCCCCTCTGCGTTTGGGAAAGAGAGATCTTTCCCTTCTAGGGGACCCTCTTAAAGAGCCAGGGCATGCTTTGGAGGAGCTGCAGGTTTCCCATCAGCACTTGGGTTGAGGGAGCCCCTCCAGGTAGGGAAGCCCTACCCAGGCTCTAGCTCTGGGGGACCCTGGAAGTCCCCCAGACTTAGCCCCCATTCCTGGAGGGGCCTCTAGCCCAGATTCACCTAGCTCATTCTCTAGCTGCTCCTGGACAGGGCTGGGGTCAAGCAGCCTGAGCTGGAAATAAGGCCAGGTCCAGAGCCATTAGGATTCCAAGGAGAACACATTGAAATATTTACTCTTTAACAGGAGAGTCCTAGACTTGCTGAGGTAATGAGTAGGTGCAGGTCACACCTGTAGACATGAGCTCCCACCACAGTTGTCAGACTGGGGCCGGGTTTGGGGAGAGAGTAAGGGAAGGAGGGGCAATCCCCCAGGTACAGCCCAGGTCTGACACCCCCACCATCCCCTATGTCCACAGTGTGAGCCAGACTCAGGCTGGAGGAGGCAGAGCAGGCCCCACAGCTATGGGAAGTCCTTCTTCCCCAGGAGAAAGCATGGTGCTATGCTCAGTTTAGATGATCTTTATTGGCAGGTGTAAGAGTGCAAAATACTAACAAATCCAGAGGGATGGAAAAGGAGGTGGGGCATGGCTCCCACCCACCAAGTGAGGACCCTGTAACCGGGCCAGTGGGGAGGGAGCACTTGACTTGACTCTGCAAAGAGTAAGCTCCTTGGCAGGAGGGCTCCTTACAACACAGGGGAAGGGAGCAATGCCTTGGAAGGGGCATGGGTAGGTCCTGCCCCAGGCTGCTTGGCTCCTGTCCACTGCACACCTAGACCCCTCAAGACAAAGGTGTCACAGCTCAGGGTGGGAGTGTTAGGGGACCGGGCTAAACCTACCCTTCCGCAAACCCAGCTATCTGCCACATGCCTGTTTCTCTCCTCCCACTGATTAGACAGGTTGGACCACCAGCCCTGTTAGTGACCCAGCCTGACCCAAAGTGAGTAGTCCCCATAATGTACCATATTTTAGCTATGTGTGTGGGCTGCAGGCCCTCAGAGGAGGCTGCTGGGATCACTGCAGGCTGGCCCTAGCCAAAAAAGACCCTTTCTGGGCCATGGAAATCAACTCAAAAATGCTGGGCATTGCAGCTACCATTCCAAATTTGCTTTGTCTCCTGAAGGTGATCGACCCCTGAGACAAATCATCCCAGCGTCCATAATCATATGGCCCAAGACTGTGGTACAATAACCAAAGGACCCTCCTGCCAAGGACCCCAGCTTGGCCGCAAGCCCACAGGGGCCTCCCTTGGGGAGTCTGGTCTGTTCAATCAAAGGCCCTACCCTGCAGCAGTACTGGGCCACCTGCCACAGGCTGCCTGGCTCTGATCATGTCCTCCACACACTCCTGGAGACCCCACCCAATCTGGTGAGGTCCAGCCCCTTCTGGCTAGGGTCCAAGTCAGTTACAGGGCAGCCAGGTCGGGTAGGAGTGGGCCCCAGCCAGCAGAGGCTGCACGGGGGTCACATAGTAATTGACAGTAGCAGGCACAATCCCATCGGGGCCCGGAGGGTGCCAGGCTAGGGCAGTGGTGGCAGCTGGGCCCTGCTCAGCCAGTGCCTGGAGCGCCAGCATGGCAATGAGGTCTAGTGTCTGGCGGCGTTCGTGGTTCATGAGGCACACGGCGCTCTCGTTGACCACCCGGTGCAGCATCACCAGGCAGGCGTAGCGCCGGGCAGCGTCAGCCTCACTGAAGTGGGCCTCCAGGTAGCGCTCCAGAGTGCGCTGCTGCTCCCCCAGGTCTGGAAAGTCGATGAAGAAGCGGGAGCACATGTAACGTTGCAGGGCACGGACGTCAGTGCTGGGCTGAGGCCGAAAGCCCCGCACCAGGAGGTGGCAGTACTTGAGGAGGCCGCCCCCACGGATCTCCTCAGGGTTGCGCGTGGCGATGACACGGTGCCGCAGGTGCTTCAAGGCCTCAGCAAAGCCCCCGTACAGGCTCTCACCTGTCACGGTCGGGTGGAAGGCCTCAGACATGGGTGTGGATGAGCACTGGCCAAAGAGCAGCAGGGAGTCCAGGATGATCTGGAAGGAGTCCACGCTGAACTCGAACTGGCGCCTCACTGAATTTACAAACTTGAGCTCCACGTTCTTGCCGCTCTTGTTGGACAGTGAGATAAGGCTCCAGCGGTCTGTGTCCATGCACACTTTCACCAGCTTCTGCACGTAGGCCTCCTTGAGGGTCACTGGTGTGATCTTGGCCCGGCTCACACCGGCCGGCAGGAAGTCCAGCAGGCAGGCCAGCACCACCTCCTTGGTCAGCTGGAAGGACGCCTCGCTGTGCAGGTCCACACGGAACACCAGGTCCAAGTCCTTGTAGCCCAGGCCGCTCTCGGGGTGCAGCACGTGGCTGGCGGCCGAGCCGTGCAGTCTCACGCTGTGCACACGCAGTCCCTGTCCCTCCAGGCTGCTGCGGACGACCTGTGGGAGGGGGCGCGGGAGGAAGAGACGTCAGGGGCCTGGGACCTGGGGTCCGCCACGGGCTTCCACGTAATACTCTCACAGTTGAGCCAATCATTGTTTACCACTTTCCAGTTGTCAGGCCTTTGGAAAGTCATTTATCCCTCTGAGCCTCAATTTCCTGAACTGGAGAATGGTCCATTTGGAAGAATGACTCAGAAAGAACAGCAACAATAACAGCAACCACATACATAGAACTAACTAAGCACCAGGCACTGATCTGAGATATAGATACAGACCCACTTAACTTCACAACAACCCTAATAGTACCTACAAGGTACTATTATTCCCACTTTACTGATGGGGAAATGGAAGCACAGAGAGGCCAAGTAACTTGCCCAAGGTCACACGGCTGGTGAATGCAGAGCTGCAAAATAAACACAGAGTCCGTGTTCTAATCACTCTGCTAAAACTCACTGCTGTCATGTCGATTCCAACTCATAGTGACCCTATAGGACAGAGTAGAACTGCCCCATAGGGTTTCCAAGGCTGTAATCTTTATGGAAGCTGACTGCTGCATCTTTCTCCCACAGAATGGCTGGTGGGTTTGAACTGCCAACCTTCCAGTTAGCGGACGAGCACTTAACCACTGCGCCACCAGGGTTCCTTTAATCACTCTGCTAATTCACCTAAATGTGTTCGGAATATAGTTAGCAGGTCACATGCATTACCACAATACCCTTACAGTAATCCTATGTTTGAGTAGTATTATCTCAATTTATAGATGGGGAACCTGAGGCACAGAGAGGTTAAGAAATGTGCCCAAGGTCACAGAGTAGCCAGGCTGAGACTAGCACCCAGGTTAGTTGGATTCAAAGGCCACGCTGGGTCTTTTGACTATGACATACTCATCCGTACAAGGACCCAGCGTGGCAAATGCTTTTATACTCATTTTACAGATGAGGCAACTGAGGCTTATAGCAGTGAAACACCCAAGGCTCAGAGTGGAAGCTACACAGAAATGGCAGGACTGGAAGTTAAAACCCAGGCACTCTCCACTCTTGGGAGAGAGGACTGCTGAAGACCTCAGGAAACCTCTGGAGCCAAGAGACTTGGTCTCTGTCCTCAGATAGCCCTCAGCTTGAGGAACAGGAACATGACAGGTAAATCCACAAAGTCACCTTGAACCTTTTCCTTTAGCCAGAAGCACCAAGTCAGGAGAAGAGTGACGCTGGGGCTGGACATTCAGTTTTCTCAGCAACCCAAAGTACTTTACACACCATGCTGAAAGTGACCAGGCAGCATTCCTACCCCAGTAACAATGCAACCCCACCTTGCTGCCAAGTCAGTGCCCGGGCCAGGCTGTCCTCCTCGCCTCATGGGGAATTACTGCAAAGAATGCACCAAAGTGCTGAGGAGGCAAGCACAGTGGGGCAATCTGAGGCGGGTGGCGCCTTCCAAGAAGGCTTCTGGGAAGGGAGAGGAGGAACTTGTCTACAGGAAGGTATCCACATGGCTACAGGGGAAGCAACTGACCACCAGGAACAGGGTGGGGGTGGGGGCTTAATATTGACTGGGCACCGGCACTGGACCAGAACCTGTCGGGGAGACTTTATGATCTTCATTTTACAGATGGGGAAACGGAGGCTTACAGGAGCCTAAGATCAGGCAGAGGTGCCTTCAAACTCAGATATGGTTGACTCTTTCTACTACTTTACAGTGTCAGGGATCAGAAGTGCCAGAGACTAGAAACTAGGGTTCTAATCCTCCCTCCTTTTCAAAATTTCAAAGTGAAGGCAACCCTCAAGTCACCAAAGCCCAAAGCTAGAGCAGTTGGGGAGTGGGGAGATGGGATTTGGGGGTGCCTTGGTCAGATAGACAGAGGAGGCCTGAGGTAAAGGGTCAATTGCTGTGGTCCAGCCTGTGGTCCTTCTAACCCATGCCATGCCAGCTGGCAGCATGCCCGCATAAGCTAAGGAGAGAAGTGGGACAAAGACCTTGGCCCAAGGACTCTGCTAGACCTGCAGAGCAGAGCAGCCCCCTCTCACAGTCCCATTAGAGCTGGCTGAGTCAGACTCAGTGCCAGCTCCTGCTCCCAACTGGTGCCCACCCCAGGGCATGGCATCTGGCCTCGTGAGTAGGTAGCAGTACCCTCGTTAAATCCCCTGCGTCAGGGCCATGGGACCAGCTGTCAGCCAGCCAGTGGCTGTTGTCTCTTTCCCAGGTGTGACTACAGCCAGTTTGGCAGAGAGTCTCCAGATACGACCACACCCAGGAACTGCAGGGCAGCTTGGAACCTCCTGAATCAAACTTTCCAGCCATGCAGGAGGCAGTGTCTGTGCCCTCCCTTCTGTGCCAAGGCCCTCCCCAGAGCCACTCTGCTCCCCAGCCAGCTGCTGAGATCTGCAGGGAGACTACAGGCGTTGTCAGCTAGCAGGCTTGCAAAACTCACATCTAGAGTTGCCTAATGCAGGCCCTCTGGCTGCAACTGGAGAGGCTGGATCTCTAGGATTGTCTAATTCAATCGTCTGGACCCAGAGATGGCAAAGAACTCGTCCAAGATCACACAAATAATCTGTGGCAGAACTTAATAATACCAGGTCTCCAAAGCTACAGGCAGGGGGGCTCCTACAGGAGGTGGGTCCTTTCAGCCCAGCTACAATCCAGAACAGCAGCTCTAGCTGCTCATGTTGCTGTTGTAGAAGGCTTGTGGGAATGGAGAGGGAGAAAAGTTCTAATTCTTGAGCTGTGAGCCAACTCAGACTGGAGAAGCCCAAAGTCAACAACCATCACCCCCTGGACACATCCTCACTGCTTTGGAAACTGCCAGCTCCAGGTTCTCCAGAAACTGGACTTTTTTCCCTGTAGAAGCAGCTGTGCAGGCCAGGTAAAGGCATCTGTTCCCTTTGGATTCTGGAATCAGAAAGGGCAGTGGAGAGCAGTCCAACCCATCTCCTCGTTGAACAGATGGGGACACTGGGCCCAGCAAAAGAAATTGACAACAATCCAGGCCTTGAACCTCCCAGTCCAGCTCAGGAGTCTGTCACCCCTCCACCCACAGCCAACAGCTTCCTGTTCTGTGATATCTCTGATGCTACTCTAGGACGTTGTACTACTACCTGACTTAAAATCACCTCTCTTTGGCCTGCAGTCTCCCCCACCTGGCTGGTAGCATCTGGAGTGCAGGGAGGCTGGGTCCCAGTCACATCCGTGTCCCTAGTGCCTTGAACTAGGAGCCCTGGTGATGCAGTGGTTAAACGCTTGGCTGGTAACTGAAAGGTCAGCAGTTCGAACCCACCAGCTGCTCTGCGGGGGGGAAAAATGTGGCAGTCTGCTTCCATAAAAGATTAAAGTCTTGGAAACCCTATGGGGCGGTTCGACTCTATGAGTCGGAATCGACTCAATGGCAATGGGTTAGTGCCTTGAACAGAGCCTGGCACAGAGCAGGCATCTGTAGTAAAGGCAGTTTGGACCAAACTTCCAGGGGCAGGAAATTCCCTTCCAGGGTGCCACATTCCGTGGTTGGCCTGACCGTCCAGGGGAGAAAAGCCTGAATTGGTTTCCTAGTCACCCAAATGACAGCAGGCAGCCCAGGAATGCCTCGGCGTCTGAGCACCGCTGGGACTTCTGGTGAGTCAGCTCTGGAGAATCTGCCCACACCCCCTCCCATTCCTTGGGAGGGAGGGCGAGGTAATCCCCCAGAAAGCATTCTGCCCTCTCTGCTAGAAGCTAAAGCAGCAGGAGGCAGGGGAATGGCTGGCTTCACCTAGCTGGTGGGCTGCCTCCCCAGAAAGAAAGTCCATCTGCTGGCATGAATCTGCAGGAATTGTGGCCGGATTTTCTGGTTTCTTCCATCAGTGCACTCCTCTAAGACCTGGAAGTTGAGTCTCGGGAGCTGGGGAAAAGGTGCAAAACAGCCTCAGCTTCTCCAGCTGTAAAATGGGCACAATAATTACCATACCCTGGTGTTTTAAGACATGGCAATGCCAGACCGATAGAGATAAAAGAGCAGTTTTGGGGTCGTTGAGGATCAGGTAAAAGGAAGAGTTGGAGTATGAAGAGGGGGGAAGGACTGCCAGAATTCTATTTGCCGGCTTCTCAAGAGAGAGCTGGGGCTTGGGGCTTGAGGCCTGACGTGGGCGGGCCTTCATTTCCAATCTTGGGGGGGGGGGGCTGGAAGAGAACACAAACTGAACACCCGATGTTGCCCCCGGGCATGGGGACATCAGGTCTGGACTGGTGTTTAATCCCCTCCTGACACAACCCCAGCTAGAGGGCAACCCTGTTAGAATTTCTCAGCCATTCCATCTTGCAGGGGATCCTTGAGCCACAGGCTGTGAGAGTACAAGAGCAGAGTCTGCCCCTAGGACACTGAGATCCGGGGTTGCGATGAAAAGAGCTATTTTGGATCCAGGCACGTACACCTACCCATCTCAGCCTCCTGGCATCTTTCTTCCTTGCAGACGGGGCTGTCCTCTCCGCCGGGTCACTCCCTATCCCTCCCTCCTCTTCCAGCCAGGCCTGGGTGAGTGGTTCGAGGAGAATCGGGGATCCCCCAAGAAGCAGGAATTCTGAGTGAGGTGGAATTCTGAGGCGCAGGGGGAAAGGGATCTGGTCTACGATTAACGCGCTGTGCGATTTATTATAGACCCTGCCCCTCTCTGGGCCTGTTTCCCTAGTTGTCCAGCGAGTAGAACAGACTCCAGGTGCCTTCTAGCCACGAGAGCCTCAGGATAGAGCCCCGCATCCCCCTCTCAGAGCCCTCTCACCTGCACGATCTGCCGGGGCTGCACGTTCAGCGTGGGGAAGTTGCCGCGCCCGTGAATGGGAATCGGCTCGCTCAGGAGCGCGTCCAGCCGCTTCACCTGCGGCCAGGTTAGCCCGCTAAGGTGCTGTCCGGGGGAGGCCGACGAGGCCTCCGGGTCGGGGACGCCGCCTGCCGAGGCGGCCTTGGCCACTGCCGAGGCCGCCCCGTCCCGGCGCTCAGCTCCGCTCTCCGACGGCATCATCCGCCCGGCCCGAGGTCCGGACGGCACAAACCGGGGGGTAGTTTAGGGGAGGAGGGCAGGGAGAGCGGCTGGGCCGGGGCCAAGGCGGGGGGGCGCGGATGTAGGGATGGGGCTGCAGGGACGGTCGGGCAAACCCAGGGCACACCTCCGACTACGACGACAAACTGACCCTATAGAACTTGCCGCCCGAGGCCCACCCTGCTCTTATAGGCCGCGGGCCACTTGCGCATTGGTCAGGCAGCCGTCACACAGCGGGAGCCGCCCAGCCTCTCGACGCCCCTGACATTGGTCAGCAGGGCTTTGCACTTGAGTCATTGGTCGCTAGGGTGGTTCCGATTGGCTGGAAGGCACGCCCCCGCCCCGCCCTCCTTCTCGGGCTGAATTCCCTCCTTTGGTCTTTAAAGAATTTCTGTCCATTGTGATTGGCCCGGGCGGACTGGGCTTGGCTTAAAGGGATAGCGCCATCCAGGGGCAGCGGGGAGGGAAGTGACCTGTGGCATTCCTAGCGGAGTCCGACCAGTGACACATTCCAGATTTATTTATTTATTTATTTGGCGCTAGAAGGAATTTAGAAATCACTTGGGCATCTGCTATTTTCAGAAGCTCAGGGAGACTGTGCTACTTGCTCAACTCCACACAGCACTCCTCGTGCCCTCTGGCAGTCTTCCACAGGATGAGGTGGAGGAAAGACAGATGTTTCTAACCCAGGTAGATGTTTTCTAACTTGCTGTGTCTATTGGCCTTTCCAAACCACAGCATGGCAGCGTTAATGTTCCTGTTTAGCGATGGTAAACCTGCTCAGAGAGGGGGAATAGCTCCCCTGAGGATACACAGCGAGTAAGCCCCGGCTCTGGTCCCGAACCAGGCTACAGAATCTGTGGCGCATGCTCTTTCCACTGCACCTACGCAGACCGAGCTGGAGGATGGAGGGCAGCTGGGGACTAGAGGTTAGTTTTCCCCTGCCTGTATCTCGGGCCCTTCCCAGCCCCTTGCACGTGGGGCTTCTTGGGTGGCTGGGGGAAACCTTTCCTGAACATTCTAGTCATCAGATCTTATATAAGCTGCCCTGCCAGGCGCTTCTCAGCTTTCTGAGGTCCTATGTGACCTTGGAACCCTGGTGCCGCAGTGGTTAAGAGCTGGGAGGCTGACCAAAAGGTTGGCAGTGCGAATCTACCAGCCGCTCCTTGGAAACTCAATGGGGCAGTTCTACTCTGTCCTATAGGGTCACTATGAGTCGGGATCGGCTTGACAGCAAGACAGTAACGGGTTTGGTTTGGTTTTGGTATGTGCCCTTAGGCAAGTCACTTAAACTCTCTGAGCCACTATTTCCTCATCTGCCCCAGAAAACGTGCTCAATACATTTTCTTTTTCACAGGTAGTCCTCTACTTAGGACAGGGTTCTGTTCCCACGACTCTGTTGTAAAGTCGGTTCTGACTTAAGGTGAACATCTTTTTTTTTTTTTTTTTTTAACTTTTCATTATTATTGCCTTTTATTATCAGTATCTTTATGAAAAGGAGCTCTGGTGTTGCAGTGGCTAAGTGCCCGGCTGCTAACGAAAAGGTTGGCAATTGGAACCCACCAGCTGCTCAGTGGGAGACAGATGTGGCAGTCGACTTCCACAAGATTTATAGCCTTGGGAATCCTATGAGGCTGCTCTACAAGGTTGCTGAGTCCGAATCTACTTAACGCCAGTGGGTTTGGTTTTGGTTTTTGGTATCTTTATAAATCTGATCTTTGAACATCTGCAAATGATATCATCAGTAAATTACATGCTGTATGTAGTACATATTACTAAAGAAAGATGTACCAAAAAAAAAACCACAGACAGTTGTCAGTGTGGTTCATCATAACTCAAATATGTCCTAAGTTGGGAACTATCTGAAATCTGATTTGGTTATTTAAAGTTTGCAAAAACATGTTCATATAGTCTATTGAAATAATATGTTTATATATTTTTCTACCACTTTATAGACCCCAGAGAGATGAGACTTATTATTACCTTTAAATTCATTTTTTCCCCTGATTTTAAATATTTGTGCTTGTGGCAAAAATTCAGAAATTGAGTCTGTTTGATTTATCACTGCAATATTTTTTCTTAGATTAAATATTATTCTCCTAACACTATATCAGGAGCCCTGGTGGCACAGCAGTTAAGTGTTTCACCTGCTAACCAAAAGGTTGACAGTTTGAATCCACCAACAGCTCCTTGGAAACCCTTGGGGGCAGTTCTACTCTGTCCTATAGGGTCACTATGAGTCAGAATCGACTCAAGGGCAACGGGTTTGATTTTGGGTTTAACAATATAACAAATTAACTATCATTCTCTTAACATTTTCCTATTGTCCTGTAAGGCAAGCTGGGAAAGGAGTAGTATGCCCAATTTACAGAAAGTGAAACCAAGACCTAGAAATGGTAAACTACATCCCAGGGTCACCAACTTGCCTCTGGCAGACTTAGACTAGACAGGGCGTGACTCTCAGACCAGAGTGGCCACTTCCTCTTTCCGGAGGCCAGCCTAAGCGAACACTACCCTTATTCCCCCCCCGCCCCATCTTCTCTGGGATGAGGGGCTTCCTCTGGCCACCAGGGAGGAGACCCTGCTGCTTACTCCATTTCTTGGCTGTGTAACCTTGGGTAAATCCAACACAATGTCCTCAGCCCAATTGCTTGCAAGTCTATTTTACCTTCTTTCGAAAGCTCAGAAGTAGATAAGAAACCTCTTTCAGCTGAGCCCAGAGTCTCCAAGCCCTTGACCTACCGAGTGTCCCTGAGGCTACTGATGAAAGCTTGAGGCTCAAACTCAGTACTGTCTCTTACCTCCACCTTCATCACCCAGAGGAGGATGGAGAAGAAAGGAAACTAGCATTTACTGAATAACTACCATGCAGCAGATCACTTTACATACATGACCTCTAATTCTTAAATATACAACTCAAGATGTGAGATCACTATCCTTATTTTACAGATGAAGAAACCAAGGCTTAGAGAAGTTAAGTGACACGCCCAAGGTCACACAACCAGTTAGTGGCAGTGCTGACTCAAATCCAGGTGTCTTGACTCCACAACCCTGTTTTTCAATTGCTCCTGTTGGAAGAGTTGGCATATATCACAGACTCATGCTTGGCACAGATCATTCATTCATTCTTTCATTCATCAGCCAACATATACTGAGTACCTACTGTGTATGGGGTGTTCTTGTTGTTAGTTGCCCTGCCTCCTAGAGCTGACATACCAGTAAGACCATAGTCAAGCAAATAAATAAGAGATTTCAGATGGTGCTAAGATGAAAATAAAATAGGGTAATGGGAGAGTGGGAATCCCTGGGTAGTGCAAATGGTTAATGTACTTGGCTGCTAACCAAAAGGTTGGAGGTTCAAGTCCACCCAGAGGTGCCTCGGAAGAAAGGCCTGTCAATCTGCTTCTGAAAAATCAAGTCATTGAAAGCTATGGAGGACAGTTCTACTCTGATACACATGAGGTTCCCATGAGTCAGAGTGAACTCAATGGCAAGTGGTAACAGGAGAGACAGCAACTGCGTGTGTGTGTCTGTGAGTGTGTGTGTTTATGTGTGTGTAAGAGAGAGAAGTGACATACATTGCCTTAGGTGGTGTGATCAGGGAAGGCCTCTCTGAGGAAGTGACATTTCCATTGGCTTGGCTGGATCCACTTCTGCCCCATCTCCCCGTGTTTGTCCCTGGACAGCTAGGGCAGCAGAGAAGGTACCAGGCCAAAGCATTCCTAGAACCCTGAAGGCCCGAGCTGACCCTCTGACAATCATTTTGTTCAGCCCGCTCCTCCTTTATAGATGGTGTCTTAGTTATCTACCCATTGCCACTGACTGGATTCCAACTCATGGTGACCCTATAAGACAGAGTAGAACTGCCCCATAGGGTTTCCAAGGAGCGCCTGGTGGATTCAGACAACCAATCTTTAGGTTAGCAGCCATAGCTCTTAACCATTGTGCCACCAGGGCTCCCTTAGTTATCTAATACTGCTATAATAGAAATACCACAAGTGGGTGGCTTTAACAAACAGAAATTTATTTTCTTACATTTAGGAAGCTAGAAATCTGAATTCTGGGTGTCTGCTCTTGGAGCCCTGGTGGCAAACTAGTTAAGAGCTTGGCTGCTAACCAAAAAGTTGGCAGTTTGAATCCACCAGCCGGCCCTTGGAAACCCTATGGGGCAATTTTACTCTGTCCCATAGGGTGGCTATGAGTCAGAATCGACTGCACAGCAATGGGTTTGGAGTTTGGTTTTTTTTTCGCTCTAGGGGAAGGTTCTTGTCTCTTTTCAGCTCCTATTCCTTGATGATCATCATGTGCGTGGCATCTATCTTCCCCCATCTGTGCTTCCTTGCTTCTTGCTTAATCTGCTCTTTTATACCCAAAAGACAATGATTTAAGATACACTCTACGCTAATACTGCCACATTAACATAACAAAGAAAGTCCATTCCCAAGTGGGATTATAACCTTAGGTATGAGGGTTAGGATTTACAACATATATTTTTTGGGGGACACAATTTAATCTACAACAAATGGGGAAGCTGGGTTCCAGAAAGCAGGAGGGATTTATCCCCAGGGGACTTGCTAAAGCTGGAAACTACACAGGGGGTGGGGCCTAGCGGAGGTGGGCTGGTTCAGTGCCCACCCCACACCCTTGAATCAAGTTCTCTAATGAAGGAAACACTGAGATGTGTTTTCCTCTCTGCCTCCTCTCTGGGCTAGGATGAGCAATTAGCAAATTCATACATTGTGAATCAGCCTTCTGTCGATGCTTCCACTCCAAAGCTATTGTTCCAATGTTTGCCCCATCATAGGACATGCAGAGCCCTGTGATAGTGACAGTGGGGTGAGGTTGGGAGGTGGTAGGAACCTGAGAGAGAGCAGGGGCATACTCAGTGGGGTCCTTCACTTTCACCAAGACCAGCTTTTAATTGTCCCAGGGAATGCAGGGGAAGGGCAGTAGATGGGGTACATCCTCAAGAGTCCAATTGT